GCTGCCCTCTCCCGGCCGCGGCGTAGCCCTGCTCGGCCCTGGCGAAGAGCAGGTGCTGCTCCATTTACGGGAGTTTCTGGATTTTACCTTATTTTCTCCTCTTTCTGCACCCCTGCACGGCTCGTCCTGGCCCCTGTGCCCTGAAGTGCAGCTAAAAATACCCGAAACTCACCTTTACCCTCTTTTTTTTGTGCTCAGCTCTCTACTTCTAGGGCAATGACAGATGTTCAACGCTCCACAGAATTTTAAGTCTGTCTGCTTGGACTCCCCAAATCTCACAGCGATGTTTCAGTCTTCCCGCCTTCCCCACCGTCCCTCCCGATGCCACAGCCAGGCCAAGGGAAACCAGGCAGCTTCAGTAAAAAACAAAACTTTATTTGGTCCATCAGAACCTGAGTTTGAAAACCACCCATGGATAATTCATATCATACAGGGATTACTGATCTGATTTACAATTGATAAAATATCCTATGTTTCTTAAGAGCTGGACAGTATTTACAGGGTTAAAAATATTCACAGCTCAGAAAGACAGAGAGGAAAAAAAAGTGAAGGACAAATCATCTCGAAGGAGCAGGGAAGAGAGAAAACAGATTAACAAACAGAAATACGGACAGAGCTTGGCTCAGCAGCCCCGGGTGGGGAGGGCAGGAGAGTGCCAGGGCAGCCCACTCCCCTGTGCTCACTTCAGCTCCCTGGCACGGGAGAGGGGCACAGAGGGACACCCTGGGCAAAACCCTCATCCCCAGCCTGGGCTGGCTGGGTGCTGGGTTTGGGGCACAGGCTGCCACCCAGCAGAGTCCTCACCAGAACAGGGCCCAGCATCTCCCACCACACCCTCCCAGCAACCTGGGAAGGAGAGGCTAACACCAGGGGACCTCCAAAACACACACACACATGCAACCCCCACGCCAAGCCATGCTGCCCTGAACCTATGGGTACCCCCCGCCATGGAGCACTCCCCAGGCCAGCAAGCACCCCAAGGCTCTCGCAAGCCTTCGCCCTTTGCTCGCTACCTTCTATGGGACTTGGGGCTCTCCACTCCCCTCCCTCCCTGGTAAAGCCTCAGTGAGCTGCTCCCCGAACCCTGGGTCGGCATGTGCTGCCCTCACCCATTGTCTCCGCAGGGTATGGAGGAGGGGGGCCCCTGCTGGGCATAGCCCGGGAGTTGAGCCCAGCTCAGGGCAGGGGGGCATGGCTTCTCTTTAGGCACTGCTTTCAGCGGCCACCTTTGCATAGTAACACTCATGTGACGAGTTGAAGGGGGGATCCCTGCTGCCACAGCTCCCCCAGGCATCACCCTGTGGCCCCATTTCCCACCCTGGCGCAGTGGCAGAGGAGGGCAACCCCCACATTGCAACCCTAGGAGCAGTGAAAACCCAGCAGCATCAGCTTTCCGACAACCCAGCACCCTCTCCTCCGCAGCCCCAGCCCAGCACCAGGGGAAGCTCCAGCACCTGGGACAGGCAAGGTAA